GAATTTAAGTTCATTGAACATGCTATTTTGTGCACATGGCATATTCAATGAACTTCCACGATTATGTGACTACTGTCGAATTATTGCTTAAAAAGGAAGGCCATATCCATATTTTGCGAATTTTTTCTCCTAAAATATTTTTTAGAAATTTTTTGTTTTAATTTTATTTTCAAAATAAATGTCTATTTACTTAGGCTTTTTTTTTTTTTTTTTTTTTTTACTATTTTTTAAACAATTACTGTTTGTTTCAGTTGAGTGTTAAATATTTTTTACAAAAACATCAATCTTGTAAAGAAAAAAAACTGATTCAGTTTTTATTTTATTTATCAATTTTTCCTTTTAAGTTTTTTAATGTTGTACTTGTGCCGGCTAAATATTTTTTAAATTGATAAAATTAAAAATGACTAAAAATGAAATGAACATCGTTGAAATAGATCTACAAAGAATAACCTAAATTATTACCGACCTGTTATTGTTTTAAGAAAATATTCCGTAAGACTTGAACTAATAATCATAGTGTACTTTGTAATAAATTAAAATAAGTAACATTCACAAGAAACCTGTGTTAATTTATTTTTAGCGTTTGCATAAAGACGACCCCCCCCATTCGTCTCAGACAAGACATAGATTCGTCCATAAAATGTAATGACTAAATCTAAAATGTCTTCTTAAATAAGAATGTGAAGTCTTTTAATGATTACCTTATAAAAATTAATGATGTTGATCCCTAAAAATGCTGTCTTCATCCTCATTCTCTGATTGGTTAAAACTCGAAGGTGTGTGTATCAGGAAGGGAGAGAATAGAAAACCACCTGCATCTCGTTAAGCCATGTGTCTGGTGCTGTCGCAGAGATTGGTTGGCACTCTGCAGAACAATTTCGTCTTGTAATAATGTGGACCATCTTTGTGTGCCTTGTTTTATTAAAAGAAATTCTGTCTTCGATCGATAAAAAGGTGTTTGTTTTTTGGGGTTTTTTTTTGGGGGGGTTAAGATAAAGTGATTTTTTATATACTTTATTTTTGTTCATAATTCTTTTTGTTCGTTGAGATACGAATTTCATTTCATTTCACTGTAGTTGTTTCTTGCTGAAGCCTTGATACACAAGTTCGGTTTAATAATGTGGGGGCTCCACAAACGTGTACATGTGTAAAGGGGCTTTACCGCAGACTTCAGGGCGTACTCTTGTTACCTCTCTAAAACTCTGTTTACCTGGAAGACGGATCTCCCTAGAAACTATGCCCTATGTCTGTCTTTAGAAGTTTTTCTACCACAAAAATGGCTGGAGACCACGTTTTTTAAATATGCTACAATGCAATTTAAATCCGACGGTGTACGTGTGTTTAATTTTCACTCTCAATTACAATGTCAATTATATTTCCCTTTCTGCTTAGCTTAACTTACATGTGGTCATGTCGTCTGCTACTAAGTTGTGGCAGGTATTTAAATTTAAAGGCATTTTGTTGGCCTCACTGTTTATGTCAGTCCAATCTTATTGCTTTTTTTACGTTTTTTTTTTTTTTCTTTCTTCCTCCCTTTTATTTTAGTGCAAAGTATTTTATTTTAAATATAGTTTTTTTGTTAAAAAAAAAAAAAAAGAAAATTAGTCGATATTGCATTTTCAAACTGGAAATATGTCTCGCGGCAAAAATGATTTGCTTATTTTATTTTGACACACAGTGCCTGTTTAAATGTTTGTGGGGTCCCTCATACATAGGTGTGAGAAATAAAAAATTGCTTCTTTAGTCCGTGTGGGTCATCGTTTTGGAGTTCACATGGGCAGGTTAGCTTCTTTTTTTTTTTTTTTTTTTTTTTGTTATAAAGACGAAAGAAAACTCGACTGGATCTATGAAGAAAATTTCAATTCTTCTTAGAAATTTTGGTAACTGGAGAAATATACGAAGGTATTTTTATTTGTGTAATTTTAACACGTAATTTTTTTTTACTAACTTCCTAAAAAAAATATGATTTTACTTTTTCAATCTTCTCAAATCAAATATTTCCAGATTTGAAACTGTTTTCTGATCGATTTTGATTATTAATTTTCGATTCATTCTTTAAGACTTCCTCCGATTTATTTAATTCGATGGTCTCTAGAATCGCTGTTGATTTTCTGCGTGCCGTGGGCGATCATGGCTCTTCATAACTTCCTATCCTTTCCTTTGTTGCTCTTTTTAGTGACAGTCTTACTCTTAGTCTTAGCAATGTTTGTTCGTTTTTTCTTTTTGTTTTGTTGTTTTTTGTTTGTTTGGGGGTTTTTTGGGGGGGGGGAGTTGAGTGGTTGTTTTCCCCCCCACTCTCTGTTCTGCTGTCTATTTTCAAAAACTCTTTTTAGGTAGGTTACTCGCTGTTTCCATCTGCCCATTACTGTGACCTGGGAGTGCCAAATTCTTCACGCTGTCTTTCCTTATGTGCCCCAGAAATTTCAACTCTCTTTTTCTGATTTAGAGGCAGTATCAGAAAAGGAGAGTTGAAGAAATGCCTTTCCACGTTGCCAACACATGCTCAGTCTTATTCTCAGCATTGTTCTGTTGCCTCAAGAAGTCTTTTCTTCATTTGTGAGGAAATTGTCTAGCATTCGTTCTCATATTGATCGATTGATATTATTACTGTATTACATAACAGTGAGTAACACTAAAAGTTCAACACCCTTTTCTTTGTTTCTAACAAAATTTTCCTGTTTCTTTAATACTCTGCCTTTTTGAGCAGCATATTTTTACCATACCAACTCGGCTTCGGATTTCAGTGTCACATTTTTCGCTGTTGAGTAATTTTTAAAAAAAATCTTTTTAGCTGCAAAAATTCCAAAGGCCGCCAAGTGAAATATAAAAAGATGTCTAAGAGAATAAAAATCATTAATCGGTCAATACGTTTTTTTTTTTTTTAACACCAAAAACATCCGCGATAGGGAGAAAGGACTTCAATCCCTTTCTCCCTTATTGCTGAAACTGAGAATGAAACGATTAATAATTTTTTCTTGGCTTCAATCTATGACACTACTATTGAACTGTCTGTATCATTTGTCTAAAAATAGTTACAGCCATTAATTTTCAAAATAATTACCCCCCCAAACCTTCGAAACCTAAAACTTCTATAAGTCTTCTTATATGCAGAAAAAAAGGTTTCATTCATGACGAGTACAGATGAACAGCAAAAACGCGTGTTAAAAAAAAGTTTAGTCATCAATGGAAAAAAAAAAGTCATTTTGAGGAAATCAGATAAAAAAATATATATATACAAGAACGTAAAACTGAATATCTGATTTAGCTTCTTCCTGCTTTTTTTATTTCGTGCCACCGTGCATGCAAAAAAAAATAAATAAATAAAAATAAAAAAAATAAAAATTCGAAAATTGGAACTTGATGACATATGGCCTCTTTTGTGTGTGATCAGTCATGCAGGAACTGCTAAATTTTTACCGGTAACATTTCCAATTGGATCTCTCTGTCAATTTCGCTGCTACTTTTTCCAACCAGAATTGTCTGTGGCTTAATTTTTCGGTAATATTTTATATTTATAAATAAGAAAGTGTGGTTGTTTTTTTTTGGTTTTTTTTTAATTGGCGTTTCGACAGAAATGCTCCTCTTCAGAATTTTTCAAAATCATGAATATAATTTTTTTTTTTTTTGAATTTTCGGTTTTTAGTTTTCTATGTAAATTGTAATTAATTCAAATAATTTTATAGTTAAAATAAAAGAAGTCAATTAGGTACATCCAAACTAATGAAAAAAAACTGATTTTTTTTTTTTTTTTTTGTGAAAAACACATTAATTTGGAAATTCTTGTAAAGATCAGATTATTGCCAGATTTTAATGAAATTTTCAGGACTTATTCCATAAATAAATTAAATTATTTTAGAATTTTTTTTTTCTTTTTTTACATGTTACGCTTACTTGATTTCTATGAAATTTTGAGAAATTCATTTTTGTAGAGTATAATGGGAAAAGTAGAACACCTTGGAAAATTTAAATCAATCTTTTTTCGTAAAACAAACCCCAGTTATATAAAATCTGCCCTGAATCGTGAAATAAAAAATGCAATAAAACTAAGACCTTATTTAATTAGAAAAGCTTTTAATTGCTTTTATGAATAAGATATATTATGAACTTTATTGTTTCAAGAAAAACTTTTCTTTTTTTCTTTTCTTTTCTTTTTTTCTTTTCTTTTTTTTTTTTCTTTTCTTTTTTTCTTTTCTTTTTTTTTTTTCTTTTCTTTTTTTTTTTTCTTTTCAATGAATAATGAATTTTTAAAAGAATTGTTTTCATTTTCTATTAAATGTTAATTATAATAATTTTCTAAAGTTTTAAATCTTTTTAAAATTCTATATTAATTTGTATGGGTTAAGTGATATTGCTATTGAGTAAAAAAAAAAAAAAACAAACTTTACATTATACTAAAGTAATTTTTACAGTTATGTGCCCTTTACTTAAAAATGCCAAACATTAAGCTATTGATAAATCTGTCATTACCTCATAAAAACACTCACCTCCATATTAAAAAAATGATTTATTGCGATATTTTAAACTAAAAGTAATATTTGTATTAATACAGATTAATTAAACTTGAAATCAGTTAATCTTCCTCAAATAAAGTTTCAGAAAATTATTTTATTTTTGAAAGATTTTTTTAAGTAAAAAGAATTGGTGTTGACAGATTTGAAAATATGGCCAATTTTAAAATTAAAAAAACAAAAAAGAAAATGATTCCAATCCAAATTTGGTTTAAAATACAGGAAAGAATTTTGCATATTGAATTTAACCTATAGGTTTGGAATTTAAAGTAAAATAAAAGCATCAAGAAAGATTATTTTTTTTCTTTTTCTTTTTTTTTTTTTTTTTTTTCTTTTTTTTTTTTTTTTTTTTTTTTTTTTTAAATTCATGTTAAATCTTGGCTATCAATTTTTATTTTATTTTCTTAGGGGTGGGTAGCTATATTTAAAGGATATTCTTACCTTTTTCTTGTGTTAAAATAATACTTACATACAACGCTCCACAATTTTAAAATGTCTGTGAAATCTGAATTAAAATTACCTTTTTTTATTATTATTATTTACCCTTATCTTTTTCTATTTTCCTTTTTTATTTCTCCTTTTTTCCTTTTTTATTTCTCTTTTTTTTCCTTTTTTGTTTTTCCTTTTTTATTTCTCCTTTTTTTTTTTCCCCCTTTTTTATTTCTCCTTTTTTTTTTTTCCCCTTTTTTATTTCTCCTTTTTTTTTCCTTTTTATTTCTCCTTTTTTTTTTCCTTTTTTATTTCTCCTTTTTTTTCTTTTTTTTTTCTCCTTTTTTTTTCTCCTTTTTTTATTTCTCCTTTTTTTATTTCTCCTTTTTTTTCTCCTTTTTTTTCTCTTTTTTTTTCCTTTTTTTTTTTCTCCTTTTTTTTTCTTTTTTTTTTTCTCCTTTTTTTTTTTCTCCTTTTTTTTTCCTTTTTTTATTTCTCTTTTTTTTATTTTTCCTTTTTTATTTTTCCTTTTTTTTTTTTCCTTTTTTTTTTCTCCTTTTTCTTTCTCCCCTCCCGCTTTTTGTCTTGTCTAGAGGGCTCTTAAAATTTAGAAGAATTATTCATGATCTGGACAGCTTAATCAATAGTAATATGAAAAAGAATTTTGAAGAAATGATTACATCTTGGAGAGGTGCATTTCTGTAAAAATAAAAACCTTTGTTTTTTTATACAGAAACACCTCCCACATGATAAGATATTAGCTAGCCAAAGACACCATTGCTACTAATGTTTTACTATTATGTGGGAGGTATTTCTGCCACACCTGTATATCTTTCTGTGTTTGTTCCTACTATCATAAAGTTGTCTGCATATACAGAATTAAAAAAAAATCTCCTATATTTGATTAACTAATAGTTTTTCTGTTTATTTTAATATTCCATAATATAACCTACACCATTATTGCTGTAGGAAGGGCAAAAAAGTAACTCTGAAAAATATGCTTTCAGCTAATCTCAGTTTTGGTTAAACTTTTCCCTAAACATAACCCTAATGCCCACACAATGAAACTTCAAATTCTCCAAACACTCTTTCCTCATGTGTCCCAGAAATTTCAGCTGCCTTTTTCTCATTCTAAATACAAGTGTCCATTTCTGTATTACTTAAATGCTCTGTGCATGTTATTCTCATCATCCTTCTGTAGAACTCATCTGTAAGGAAATTGTCCAGTATTCATTGCCATTTAGAAGAACTAATATTATATATCAGTTCAGCACTTTTTAAAAAAAAATTTCCTGTTTCTTAATACTTTGCTTAGTTTTTGGAAGCCATCTTTGCTATGCAATATGTTTTTCAATGTCACATTTTCCATTGTCTTTCATCACACTTCCCAGGTAATTTTTGTACTTGCTTGATTTTGACCTTTCCAATTTGTAGCTTGCATATTGGGCTCTCTCTCTATAGGAGTATATAGGTTTGCCTCACAATTCACACTCTCCTCTAGTCTTTTGAGCAGGACTAAAGGTTTATGCCTTGTTTCCTATTTAAAATTGTTTTTCCGATTCCTTCTGAAGTCTACTTCAATTCTATCCTTCTAATGTATCCACCTGAACTCTGAAATTTTATTCAATAACTATTTATTTTTATCTCCTCAATAGGATTAGATAGGTTTCTCCTCAGTTTTTTAAATAGAAGTAGAGGCTTACAGCCACATAATTTGGAAGTACCAGTTCTCATATGATCACCAAAGTTAAGCAATGTCAAGTCTGGTCAGTACTTAGATGGGGTGAATGTTTGGGAATACCAGGTGCTGTAAGCTTGGATGTAGAAGAGAAGTAATGGATAATGGCTTGGAATTGTTAATCAGAGAGCCAAGTTCCGATAGTCATTGGGTTTTATTATATTCAGTTTTCGTTGTTAAAATTTTGTTTAAATTTTTTTTTTTTTCTTTTTTTTGTTGATGGCTTAAGATTACAATTCTTCTTTTTTTTTTTTCTTTTTTCACCCTCTTCATATTTGTATTAATTAAAAGCAGGATTCCTTGGAGAATTTTAATAATGATTTTGTTTTTGTCAAACAAACACCATTTGCAGAAAATCTGCTCTGAATCATTAAAAAAATTCAATAAAACTATGACATTATTTAATTAGGAAAGCTTTTAATTGTTTTTGTAAATAAGATATATTAAGGGCATTATTGTCTTAAGATGAATTATGAGTTTTTACAATAATTGTTTTAATTTTTTTTTAATTAGTAAAAAATTACTAAGATTTTTTCATCTTTAAAATTCTGCATTAATTTCAGCCATTGAACACCAAGATTTTAAGAAGTTTGAATTATTTTTTTTTATGTATATAAACGTGCCCATTTTTTAAACTATGGGTGACCATACACAACATTATCAGAAAATAAGAGTGATGACAGATAAATTTAAAGTCAGCATTCCTAAAATTAGATTACAGAGAATATTTTCCAACATTTTTAAGATTACTGAATACTTAAAACTTTTGTAAAATAAAAAGGCGATCTTGTCATTTTTTTAAAAAATTGTTTTACAGCTAGTCTCTGAAGAACAACAATAAACCTGTTATCACCTTGTCAAACACTGTTGGTTAAAAAGACAGCTACTGTTTGGTTCAAAAATGCATTTCTGTGTTATTTTAAACTTAAAGTAAATAATTTTTGTTTAAAATCAGATTAATTATACTTTAAATCAGCTAATATTTCCCAAATAAAGTTTCAGAAAAGTATATTTTATTTTTGGAAGAGTTTTTTTTTTAATAAAAAGAATTCCATTGAGATGAAAGGTGACTTAAAAAGAAACCGCCTCCCATTCAATTTAAATTAGTTTAAGTCACTACTATTGTTCAATTCATTGAGCAGCATGTGTATGACCCCAGACATGGCTGTTTTAATATCTGACTGGCTGTCTTGAGAACTTCCTATGCATGGGTGAAATGTGTTTGTATGTAGGCAGTCTGCGTGAGTGGGTGTTTGTTTCTTATGGGATGCTTGTGCATTGTGATATTTTAAAAAATGATGTGATATAAAATTTTTATTTTTGTTAAATTAGGGATAATTTTCCTACACATCTAACTTGAAGGTTTGCTTTATCACTGCTATATGACCTTGATTTCATTAGATGAACCTTCCTGTCTGACTGTTGACTTCATTCTTAGAAGCCCTCTGCCCAGCAATGTCATGTCATTAGAACACTGTCTGTATACATAGCTATGGAGCCCAGCTTATCACATTGTGCTAAATGTTATTGGCTCTTTAAGAATGTTTCACTGCCCTTTGACAGGTACTGTTCTTAATCCTAAAACAGTAGACCAAGGAAGGCACCAATATGGCAGGTAGTACAATGCAGTGGTGTATTGTTGAATTATCCTAAAATAATCTTATATATTAATAGCCAATGGTCTAGGTAAGAATGTTAGTCATGCTACTCTTGTGTGTGCACCTAGTGAAAAATAATGTGGCAAATCTTCTAGTCATAAATTTGATAGGTCTTCCAGAGGATCTTTGGGATTATAGCAATTCAGTGCAAATTTAGCTAAGAAACTATAACACAGCTAATGACACTAGAATCAAAAAGCATCATACTTCTGAACAGAAATATTATGAAAACAGAATTTCAATTTGGAAATATCTTAAATGTTTTCTATTAAATTATCAAAATGATTTAATTCTTTTTGATACTATAAAATGATTTGTTTCCATTCTTAGATTGAAAAGAAAACACGCCTTTATAGAATCTGTTCTTGTAAATTTAGGATGACACCACTGGTTATATGGTACCAGTAGGTCTTGTAGAGTTACCTGACATAAATGAAAATAATTTATTCTGACAAAAGAAATCTTCTTGAAGTTAAAAATGTGTCAAATCTTCTAGTTATAAATTTGATAGGTCTTCCATTGAATATTTGGGACTGCTGCGATTCATTTCAAATATAGCTAAGAAACCATAACACAACTGGTGACACTAGAGTCAAAAAGCATCATACTTCTGAACAAGATGAGGAAAGAATTGCAACCTGGAAATAAATTAGTAAATAAATGTTTTCTATTAAATTATCAAAATTGTTTAATTCTTGATTCATGTGATAAAATGATTTGTTTTCTTTCTCAGATTAAAAAGAAAACACACCTTTATAGAATCTGTTCTTGTAAATTTAGGATACCACCACTGGTTATATGGTACCAGTAGGTCTTGTAGAGTTACTTGACATAAATGACATTGTTTGACGAAACATGCACACAATTCCTGGTTTTTAAGGGTTTTTTTTTTTTGTAGTTGGGTTGGGTGGTGCTTACAATGAAAATAATTCCATTATTTGAATCAAGATGGAGGCTATAACAGCTAAAATAGAAGGAAACCTGTCTAAAAGAATAAATGTATAATATTTGCAATGCCTTATCTCTCAGAAATTCTGACAATTTAAGTTTGTAAAAATTTTGTTCCAAACTTTTCAATAAAATATTTTTCCTTTTCTTTTTTTTTGTATCTACAGATCTTTTTCTTATCCGTCTGACTACACAATTATGTCCACAAACAGGCACAGAATGTATCGTAGTCAAACAGGTTGTTGCATCTGCCGTGTAAAATCCTCCAGTTCTCGTTTCACAAGTAGCATTCGTTATGAACGAGATTTTCAAGAATGCTTCCATGTTACCAACCGATCGGGTGATATTTGCAATGCATGTGTCCTTTTGGTCAAACGTTGGCGCAACAGAGTAGACCAAGGAAGACATTGGGACTATGTAAGTATTTTTTTTTTTTTTTTTTTTTTTTCTCTCCCTTATACTTTCGGCAGGATTAACCTTGTGAATGAAATTTGATTGAACTATAGATCTCTTTTGGGCTACTTTTTGTATGTTCACAAATGCAAAACATGATACTGGGTCTTTTCTTTTTTTATGTAGGTAGTTGCAAAATGTGTAGGTAAGAGGTTACCTAGAAGCAGTCACACTTGTAGGATGTGCAGATGGTATAATGGCTAGAGGCTTGGAATAAAAGTCAGCTAACCGAGTTCAAATTCTGCTTGAGATTGTTATATTCATTCTTTCATTAATACCCTTGGGAATGATATGAATCCATCTCTTCTCCGCTGTTTTTCTTTTTCATTGTCTTTATAATATGCTTGATATTAATTTATGTGTGAGTTGAGATGCTCTTATTATTGGTATTAGGTTAACTTTTTTTCTCTTGTGTGTGTGTGTGTGTGTGTGTGTGTGTGTGTGAGAGAGAGAGACTCTATATATGCCAAATGCCATGATTTTTTTTCCTCCTTTTCATCATTTTCTTGTCCCCTTACACTCTCTCCCTATTCTTCTTTTTTTTCTCTCTTTTGGCACTGATCATATATATATATATATATATATATATATATATATATATATATATATATACACACACACACAATCCTTTGAAACAGACTGTTGCCTCTGGGTCATTTTTATATTTATGCTCTATCTCTGTTATTTATTGAGCACCTTAACCCATAAATATAGCATAACTAAAAACTAATTGTGTGAGTGTATATATATATATATATATATATATATATATATATATATCCATCCAAATGCAATGAGAATGAAAATAATATAAATTCAAACATTCACAGTATTAATTCAAAAGAGGGCTCAATACCAAGAGTAGAGCAATAATTATTTATTATAGATTTTTACATGTGGACAACATTTACCCACTACAAAGATGCATTCTTGATTCTTGTTTCAATGCCACTGCATCTGCACTGGTGGTAACCATTTTTGGTTCTCACCAGTTGAGATGCAGCCCCATCGAAACAAGAATGCATCTTTGTAGTGAGTAAGTTGTTTTTGTCCGTATGTAAAAAATATATAAAAATATATATATATATATATATATATATATGTACTGGCAAAGCCTCCATTAAACTTCATTTGATAGGATATGTGCACACATTGTTTGCATTGAGGGATCCAGGCTGTGAAGTTAACAATGAGGACAATCTAGTTCAGTGATCAAGCTTTATTTGGCCTACGAGAATTGTAGAATCTTATAGAAGGTAATTTTCATCCACACAAAATGTCAACTCACAAGATTGTGCTGAGGTCATGTCCTTGCTGAAAATGTGTGATTGTGAAGACAAAGAAGCTGCAATGAATCAACTCCGTTGGGTGACCAACCGTCACTTGATTTGCAAGAATTATGGAACAGTTCTCCTCCACCAACATAAATCGCCAACTCATGAGATTGTGAAACTTGCCCTTGGCTGGATGTGCTTTGTAAAAAAAGTTGTTTCCATTGCTGCTTCCTGTGAAGTTTTGGCTTTGAGCATTGTCCTGATGAATCCAATTGAATACACAGTTGGCACAACATCATGGCTTTGGATGACACTTAATGCCATGATATAAACAACAAACCTTTAATGGAGGCTTTTCCCAGAACATTCCATGCAGCTCAATGACTGACTCTCCAGAAACTCTTAATGGCTCAGGAAATGTCCTTTCAAAATTGAATTGTGCGTGTGTACGTGCACGTCCCTCAATGCAGACAATATGTGCACATATCCACCAGTAAAAAAGGAGTTTAATGGAGGCTTTCCTAGAATTAATATATATATATATATATATATATATATATATATATATATATATATATATATATATATATATATATATATTATGAAATGGACGAAGTCCAACAATTATTTTAAGACATTTTTATGTTTATACATTCTTTTTTATAGATACAAATATTTAAGTAATTGCTCTGTTTATAACAAACTGTATTAACATTTACCAGCCTGAATGTCCGAAAAATTGTCATAGAAAATATGCGTCCTATGACAGGAATCGATCCTGTATCCTATATATATATATATATATATGATTCAGGCCGGTAAATGTTGTTAATACTGTTTATTATAAACAGAGCATTTACTTAAATATTTGTATCTATAAAAAAGAATGTATAAACATAAAAATGTCTTATATATATATATGTGTGTGTGTGTGTATTTGGTCAGCAATCCATCTTTTATACAAGATTCTGGCTATAGCCATAGTTGGTAATCAGTATAGGAGAACAACTCTGAATTCACAACTGTATGGGTCGTATACTTAAACATTAACTAAGATTGCATCATTAAAGTAAAAACAACTGTATATATATGTGTGTGTGTGTGTATTTGACAGAGTAAAAAGAAAAAGAAAGGATAGGGAGAGAGTGTAAAGAAACAAATGATGAAAAAGAGAAAAAAAAACATTTAACGCACACACACACACACGAGGTAAAATATCAAGTTAATATCAGTAATAAAAGCATCCCAATTAGCACCTAAATGGATTACATTGAATTTAGTATAAAGATAATCAAAAAAAGCTTAATTACTGAAACCTCTTAAAGATTGAAAAATTAGAAAAAGGTTTGTCTACAAGACTTTGGAGTCAAGGTGAATATAACATCAGCTAAATGACAAATTTTCTTTGTATTAAAAATACACACATACACACACACATTTTTTTATATATATATATATATATATATATATATATATATATATATATATATAAAGAAATATACTCTTAAGGTGTGCTATATATCAGAGATAGAGCATATGTAAATAAATATGAAAGTAAACATTGAAGTCAACACTCAGCCTCTGCGTGTTGACGTCAATGTTCGCTTTTATTTATATAGCTGGAAAAGAATAAAATGTGACTGAATAGGAAATAAGTTGTTTATCTTGAATAACTAAAATTTCACCATGTTGATTTGTATGGGGGTACACTGTAGTGAATGTCTTGAAAGGCATGAAATGAATCTTCTTTTCTAACACATATCTTTTATATAGACATCATACAGACGTCTTCAGAAATATGATTTGGTTATTCCCATTGTTGTATCCTTAAAGAGGTTTCAAACAGACAAAGGTGGTACTAGAGTGAAGGAGCAACAACACATGCATAGATAAAAGAAGAGAGATTTATTGTAAAAGAGAATACACTACTTAAATACAGTGAATCGGGTGGCAGGCTAGTAATTCCTGAAGCAAACCCCCAGGTATATCCTGTGCTTACCATATATAGCTACTGATATAGTCAGTCCATGTAGGCGATAGGGAGTGTGGGACGTTCCATTACAACACCCATCAACACATTTTACAGCAACTGATATAGGTAATAATCAGGTGCATGGTCAGGTGAATATGGCAACTTGGAGAGAACAGAGCAACCAAGTTTCAAAATCTTCTTAGCATCAGTTGTTATCCTACATTGTAAATTTTACTGCTACTTACATTTCTCACTCTGATAAAGGGCTCACTTTATGTGTGGTTTAATGACAGCAGAGTACTGTTGTGTTATGACCCTATCAAGGTTGATGGTCTCAGTCTGCTCTATTATTTTACCTATAGCTCAAGAGAGAAGAAATTGTAGCTGTTATAGTACCTGCACATCTATACATTAGTGAAATCTGTTTGTCTTGTCTTTATGCTCAGTAAATATAAGTACATCTGCTCGGTCATTATAAAAGTTATGTAATATGTCAGTTTGGACTGCCAACAATGGGGAAATGAAAGGTATCCTTATTATAACATCTTAACATATACCCTTAAAAATTTGGTGAAGCTGTGTAATCAGCACTGCAATCAGAATTTTTTTTTTTTCATATTACTATAGATCAAGTACTTCAGATAAGAAATATCAAAAGAAAAATTTATAGCAAACATAAACTTTTGTGCCCACCAAAAAAAAAACCTGGAGTGTCAAATAAACAAATGGACAGTTTTTCCCCTGACACAACTTTTATTTTAACTATTCTTTGGCAATGTTTACGCTTTTTAAAAAGCGATGATTAGAATTGTAATAAAACCTAAACACATGAAAGTAAATTTATACATTTTTTTTTTGTTCTTGATAATTGACAACAAAAATATCATACACACGTTGTTTATTTATAAGAATAATTTTATATTTACAACATTCTAAAAACTCATACAAGATATATCAATTTATAAAGAAATATATAAACAATTTTTATTCATAAATTTATAAACATTTATTTAATTATTAACGTATGTGAACCAACTGTAAGGAAATCCTTATTTACCATTTTATAAAGTTCAAATCATTTGTCAATTAACCGACATTTTACCAACCATTCCAATAAACAATCTAATAGTCTTGGTTATTTTTGTTGTCAGTTTTCAAGAATAAAGCAAATGTCTAAATAGTAAAGACAAACATTGACAAAGGACAAAAACTTGTGGCGTCATGATTGCATGTGTCTTGAAGGGGTATGGCACATAAAACAAGGAGGAAGAAGATAAGAAAAGTTGGAAAATAATGTCCAATTTTAGAATAAACCTTTTGTGTTCTAATATATTGCTATAATGTATAGCTGGCCACTCGTATTCGAGGATACCCATCTACTAGGGCGGCTAGCCAATCCCTATTGCAGATGCTTGCTCAGGTGCATTTGTGTTTATTCAACACCCACAGAGCCCACCTGTGGTTTATACTGCAACTATACTGAGCAGAC